AAGTGGGAGGAAGGTAGAACTTGATGAAGTATTACCTCTTGAACCGGTAAGTGGCGCAGCTCAAGAAAATGTTCCTGAGGTGCCTGCACCGACTAGAGAGGAAGTTGATGATGATGATCATGAAACTTCAGATCAAGTTGCTACTGAACTTCGTAGGTCCACAAGGACATGTTCCGCACCAGAGTGGTACGGCAACCCTGTCTTGGAAATCATGTTGTTAGACAACGGTGAACCTTCGAACTATGAAGAAGCGATGGCGGGCCCGGATTCCGACAAATGGCTGGAAGCCATGAAATCCGAGATAGGATCCATGTATGAAAACGAAGTATGGACTTTGACTGACTTGCCCGATGATCGGCGAGCCATAGAAAATAAATGGATCTTTAAGAAGAAGACAGACGCGGATGGTAATGTGACCATCTATAAAGCTCGTCTTGTCGCTAAGGGTTATCGACAAGTTCAAGGAGTTGACTACGATGAGACTTTCTCACCCGTAGCGAAGCTGAAGTCCGTCCGAATCATGTTAGCAATTGCCGCATTCTATGATTATGAGATATGGCAAATGAACGTCAAAACGGCATTCCTTAATGGTTTCCTTAAGGAAGAATTGTATATGATGCAGCCGGAAGGTTTTGTCGATCCTAAGAATGCTGACAAGGTGTGCAAGCTCCAACGCTCGATTTATGGGCTGGTGCAAGCATCTCAGAGTTGGAACATTCGCTTTGATGAGATGATCAAAGCGTTTGGGTTTATGCATACTTATGGAGAAGCCTGCATTTACAAGAAAGTGAGTGCGAGCTCTGTAGCATTTCTCATATTGTATGTGGATGACATACTGTTGATGGGAAATGATATAGAATTCTTGGAAAGCATAAAGGCCTATTTGAACAAGTGTTTTTCAATGAAGGACCTTGGAGAAGCTGCTTATATATTAGGCATCAAGATCTATAGAGATAGATTGAGATGCCTCATTGGTCTTTCACAGAGTACGTACCTTGACAAGATATTGAAGAAGTTCAAAATGAATCAGTCAAAGAAGGGGTTCTTGCCTGTATTGCAAGGTACGAGATTGAGCATGGCTCAATGCCCAACCACGGCAGAAGATAGAGAAAAGATGAGTGTCGTCCCCTATGCCTCGGCCATAGGGTCTATCATGTATGCTATGTTGTGTATCAGACCTGATGTAAACCTTGCCGTAAGTTTGGTAGGAAGGTACCAAAGTAATCCCGGCATGGAACACTGGACAGCGGTCAAGAATATCCTGAAGTACCTGAAAAGGACCAAGGAAATGTTTCTCGTTTATGGAGGTGACGAAGAGCTCGTCGTAAAGGATTACGTCGATGCTAGCTTCGACACAGATCTGGATGACTCTAAGTCACAAACCGGATACGTGTACATTTTGAATGGTGGGGCAGTAAGCTGGTGCAGTTGCAAGCAAAGCATTGTGGCGGGATCTACATGTGAAGCGGAGTACATGGCAGCCTCGGAGGCAGCACACGAAGCAGTCTGGGTGAAGGAGTTCATTACCGACCTAGGAGTCATACCCAATGCGTCAGGGCCGATGACTCTTTTCTGTGACAACACTGGAGCTATTGCCCTTGCCAAGGAGCCCAGATTTCATAGGAAGACCAGGCATATCAAGCGTCGCTTCAACTCCATTCGTGAAAGTGTTCAAAATGGAGACATAGAAATTTGTAAGGTACATACGGACCTGAATGTAGCAGATCCGTTGACTAAACCTCTCCCTAGAGCAAAACATGATCAACACCAGAATTCCATGGGTCTTCGATTCATCACAATGTAACTAGATGATTGACTCTAGTGCAAGTGGGAGACTGTTGGAAATATGCCATAGAGGCAATAATAAAATGATTATTATATTTCCTTGTTCATGATAATTTTCTATTATTCATGCTATAATTGTATTATCCGGAAATCGTAATACATGTGTGAATATATAGACCACAATGTGTCCCTAGTGAACCTCTAGTTGACTAGCTCGTTGATCAACAGATAGTCATGATTTCCTGGCTATGGACATGGGGATGTCATTGATAACGGGATCACATCATTAGGAGAATGATGTGATGGACAAGACCCAATCCTAAGCTTAGCTCAAAGATCGTGTAGTTCGTTTGCTGTAGCTTTTCTGAATGTCAAGTATCATTTCCTTAGACCATGAGATTGTGCAACTCCCGGATACCGTAGGAGTGCTTTGGGTGTGCCAAACGTCACAACGTAACTGGGTGACTATAAAGATACATTACAGGTGTCTCCGAAAGTGTCTTTTGGGTTGGCACGAATCGAGACTGGGATTTGTCACTCCATATGACGGAGAGGTATCTCTGGCCCACTCGGTAATGCATCATCATAATGAGCTCAATGTGATCAAGTGGTTGATCACGGGATTATGCATTACGGTACGAGTAAAGTGACTTGCTGGTAATGAGACTGAACAAGGTATTGGGATACCGACGATCGAGTCTCGGGCAAGTAACGTACCGATTGACAAAGGGAATTGTATATGGGGTTGCTTGAATCCTCAACATCGTGGTTCATACGATGAGATCATCGAGGAGCATGTGGGAGCCAACATGGGTATCCAGATCCCGTTGTTGGTTATTGACGGAGAGTCGTCTCGGTCATGTTTGCTTGTCTCCCGAACCCGTAGGGTCTACACACTTAAGGTTCGGTGACGCTAGGGTTGTAGAGATATGAGTATGCAGTAATCCGAAAGTCGTTCGGAGTCCCGGATTAGATCCTGGACGTCACGAGGAGTTCCGGAATGGTCCAAAGGTGAAGAATTATATATAGGAAGTGTAGTTTCGGCCATCGGGAAAGATTCGGGGTCACCGGTATTGTACCGGGACCACCGGATGGGTCCTGGGGGTCCACCGGGTGGGGCCACCCATCCCGGAGGGCCCCGTGGGCTGAAGTGGGGAGGGAACCAGCCCCTAGTGGGCTGGTGCGCCCCCCTCTTGGGCTCCCCCTGCACCTAGGGTTGGAAACCCTAGGGTGGGGGGGCGCCTCCACTTGCCTTGGGGGGCAAGCCTCCCCTTGGCCGCCGCCCCCCAAGGAGATCCCATCTCCTAGGGTTGGCGCCCCCTAGGGGCCTATATAAAGGGGGGGAGGGAGGGCAGCCGGACCTGAAGTCTTGGCGCCTCCCTCTCCCCTGCTACACCTCTCCCTCTCGCAGAAGCTCGGCGAAGCCCTGCTGCGACCATTGCTGCTTCCACCACCACGCCGTCGTGCTGCTGGATCTTCATCAACCTCTCCTTCCCCCTTGCTGGATCAAGAAGGAGGAGACGTCATCCGCTCCGTACGTGTATTGAACGCGGAGGTGCCGTCCGTTCAGCACTTGGTCATCGGTGATTTGGATCACGGCGAGTACGACTCCATCATCCCCGTTATCTTGAACGCTTCCGCTCGTGATCTACAAGGGTATGTAGATGCACTCTCCTCTCGTTGCTAATTGACTCCATAGATTGATCTTGGTGAAACGTAGGAATTTTTTTTGTTTTCTGCAACGTTCCCCAACACTTTCGCGGTCTTGCAGCGCAGAACCATCACGCGTTGTTCTCCCCCGTCATGAGGGAGTGCTAAAGGATCGTCGCGAGGAGCTCGTGGTCCAAATAAACCGGCACGAGCAGGCCTAATGGGCGGACAACACGTCCCCACGACCACCCTCCCCCTTGCCCGTTGCCGCTCACGGCGTGCGGCCCGCGACTAAGATTCGGGTGTCCGAGCCGGCGTGGCCACTAGGACCCATCGGTCGCCCGGGGTAACCTTCCGGAGCAGGTAGAGAAGGCGGAAATGGATGCGGCGGGGCGATGGACGGGAAGGTATGCGGCTTCATAGACGAGACTGGCCATTCTTGTTGTCCGCACTACGTCGCCGGGTGGCAGGGAACTACACAAAGCCTGAGCTTCCGCCGTCGCCAAGGCCAAGCCGCATGACGAGCTCCTCCACGTCATTCGGCTCCGCATTGCGCCACAGCGACTACTAGCCGTCGTCGACTCCATGACCGGAAGTTGCATTGATGCCGTTGTAAAAAGGGGAGTGGACGAGATGAGGAGGAGACAAAAGGAAGTGGAGTGGAGCGAGTTGTTTGGCTGCCGTTTAGGATTCGTCCATGTGAGGATTAATGTGAGGTCCGACTGGGCCAGCAACAAGGGCCTGTTCGACATGACAGATGCACTCGGGCACGTCCGAGCCTCACCATACCCACTCCATATGTTGGTTGGGTTTGAAGGGTGCCGATTAACGCAGACGTGTGTGTGCGGTTTAAGAAGTCCGACTGAGTCATGGTTTTGTGAGGGAGCACTGGCCGAAACGTTTGCCCATTCTTTTAACATAGTACAGACGTGTGCATTCATATATATGCGCATACACTCATCTCTATAAATACACACTCACACCCTACCCTTATGAGCACCTTCGAAAGACTGAGTTGGCATTTCATCTTGAGATTAACGAAGTCACCAAAGATAGTCCACGGGAACATCTCCTTTTACTGAACGCGCATCGTCGCAAATCCCAAAATAAATTCAGGAACAAATGCAAGCACCAAGACTTGAAGTCGCATGGGTTAGGATCCACCTAACCATCCAACAACATGAACATCCGTCCATTGGAAGAGCTTGTCTGCATATGGTTTTACACATAGTTTCAGAACAGCGACGTAGAACGACCGCCGCTAGCTCGTCTTACCTTTTGCGTGTAACACACGCTCGGTTTTCCGTTTAGCAGTGTTGACACCGCAAGCCGGACGTGTTCGTTGGCCGTCTTGGGCACAGATGCGGATGCCACTCCTACTAGGAGGCTGTTTGGTTGCTACCTGACCGACGCGCGTTCGTCTTCGAGCCACCGTTATAAGGTTCCACCCCCACGCACAACCAAACGCAACCAAACAGCCTCGCCCCCTCCCACCAAGATCACGCAGGTCCCGGCGCCCCAATACAGACCGGCGGGAGTCTTCGAGGACTACGTACGTAGCGGCGATGGACGCATCGGCGACGACGCAGAAGCGCAAGTGCCCCGACAAGGAGGAGACGGCCGGCATGTGCGCCAACGGCTGCGGCTTCTTCGGCGCCGCCGCCACGGGCAACATGTGCTCCAAGTGCTACCTGGACCACGTCGTCATCGGCACCGCTAACACCGTGGCCGCCTCGACGGGGCCTCCGGCGAAGAAGGCCAAGATGATCGTCGCCGTCCCGTCCTCTGATGGTGCGGCCGCCTCCTCCACCGCCGCCGCGGCTGACTCCTCCGCGAGCTCCGTGAAGCAGCCGCCGGTGGCGGCGAACCGGTGCGCGACGTGCCGCAAGAAGGTGGGGCTGCTGGGGTTCCGATGCCGTTGCGAGGGCACCTTCTGCAGCGTGCACCGCTACTCGGAGAAGCACGACTGTGGATTCGACTACAAGACCGCCGGCCAGGAGCAGATCGCCAAGCACAATCCGGTCGTGGTTGCGGACAAGATCACCCGAAGGATCTGACGCCAGCAACAAACCAGCAGATCAACGGCCAACCGATAAAGCAGTAGTCATGGCGGCCTCGAGGATATAGATCGATCGATCTTCTTTGTATTTTCTTGGAACGTGTAAATCTTAGTTTGGACTTCGGAGATTGTACTGTGAACAAATGTGGTTAATTCATGAATTGATCAACAAGAGAATTTAGTTCATATGTTGGTTAACTGTGACCGTATGTACAAATAAACTAAGTATAATTACTTTGGTACCAAATGTGATATACATCTGAAATCTAAAATGGCCAATCTATTGCATGTGGGTCATTGCGGTGAAGACTAATCCATGTCAATATTTGACCTGCTGAGGTGAACGAGGGACCCACCTATCAGGCACTAATTTTCTTTCCCCTTTTTCTTCTGTCCTTCCTCGTCTCTTCCCTACGCCGGCCGCTCCAGAGGCGGGCGCTTGAGCGCGTATTTTTTTGCCGGGGAGAAAGGGAGGTGACGCCGGGAGGGCCCGCCGGCGACGGCCGTGCCACGCGCACATCCGCCCTTTCGTACGTTCCCGCGTTGCACGGAACCAGGTCCTCAGACAGTTTATTATATTCTATACTAGTAGTTCCCCATTAGCCACCTTAACTGTCAGAGGCTGTTTAGGTTGTTGTGGTTCAGTCTGAATTCTGGACAATAAGGCAAACATCCATAAAGCTGTGTGTGCTTTCCGAGTCCAACAGTTTCAGCACCACTTGATTTGGGGCTCTTAATCGGATTTTTATTTTATTCTTGCCTTCTTAGGCCCTGTTCGGTCCACAGGATTTGTGAAGGAATTTCAAAGGAACACTGTTCACAGAGGTATATTTTCCTTTGCATCGTTCGGGACACAGGAAATGCATACAGTAAACCGGAGAAAAGTTGCTCTTCCAGTGATGATTCCAAAGGAATCCTAACATCCGGCCGAAGCTCATATTTCTCACGAAGCCCGAGGCGAGCCGTTCTGGCCGTATCATCAGGGGATTAAAAAATGATGGATATTTGAAGTGGTGAGGTGAGAGGAAGAGATAAAGCTACCTTGCTTCAATTAAAGAATACATGAAGGCCACTGTTTGCACAGTTCTTTTAGATGGTTTTCCTATGGTCACCTGAACACCTGCTTTGATCACTTCCCTGAGTTTTTCATTCCAGTGTTTTACACATGCGTTCCTTTTCTGTTCCTATATTTTTTCTATTTCCTATGTTTTGCTATCCTATGAACCGAACAGGGCCTTAGATGATCTGCACACGACAGACCCTTGACTGGCTGAAGCTGTTCTTCCACTGCTTCCTGTACTGCAATAGCATCCAATACAACATCAGGAAAAATGCCACTCTCCTCGTTTGCACTGCAATTACATGTGTTTGCACTGTGTCTTGTCCTTGCTTAGCACATACATGACCAGGTGCAATTTTTTTACCCAGACTGAAGCAAAGACCATTAGTGCGTCTGTACTCCTTCAATTGTTTAGCTCTCCGCAATTCCCCTGAATTTGCATGTTGCTTGCCATCAAATATACCATCTGAATTGTTTAGCCCCCATTTATCATGTCGATTCTAGCTGGCGTCCGACTCACTCGCCATGTAGGACCGATGATGGCCCAACCTGTTAGTATATATGGGGTAAAATAAGTAAAATGATAAGAAAAGTAGAGGTGTCTTCAGGAAGCCAAAGTAATTTTGTGAAATCGGAATGTTGTTAACAAAAGCAACTCGTACATAGCTAATTTCTGGTTCGAAAATGAAGTACACATGTAACTATAATGAAACCAAAATAACAAGGATTAGACCAACTAAGTCCTCCAGTCGTAGCTGCCCAAGTGCGCACTTAATTATGTTTAATCATCATGCATGCAGCTCCAACGATTCTAGCTCGCGTTGTTGGTGGCGAAGCAGAACTTCCTGACTTCGCCCGGGTCGGTCCCGGTAAGCACCTCGATGCTTCCCATCTTCACCATAGCCCCCGCGAACCTGGCCATCCACGCGATGGGGTTAGCAGCGTTGTCGGCTACCATGGCCGCCGTCTTGTTCCCGGTTGTCGGTGTCTGGTCCATCAACGTCTGGTCCGACGTGAATAACACCTGCCCAGAGGCCACGTTATGGTAGAACTGGTTGCTCAGCTTGTTCGGGTCTGTCACGCGGTTGTTGCTCACGGAGATGAATCCCCCGCCGTTCCTTGGTGGCGGGCACACCTTCTTGAGCGCCGCAGCGAAGGTGGCGTTCATAGTGGGGTCGACGGTGGGGTACAACCGTGGGGTGACAAAGTTACAGTGTGTGAGGCCGAAGGAGTGCGCGCCGGAGAGCACCACCAAGTCCTCGGCGTTGAGGCCTTTGGCGGCGAAGTTGTCAAGGAGTTCTTGGAGATGAAACGCCGGGGATGGAATGCCTTGGAAGACCTCAGCTGCGACTGACTGGAAGCCGTCGAGGCGGCCGGATGGCATGTGGAAGGTGAAGCCGCCTAATGCGGCGACGGAGTCGCGTGCGGCAAAGGCCAGGATGTCGGCACAGGAGACGACTTCCGGGCAGACGGCCTCCACGTCGGCCTTGATCTTGTTCATTGCATCGTAGCCGCGCAGAGGGATTGTTGTTTTCTCAGTCTGCGTGTTGTTGGTGGTCTGGTCTAGCAGAATGGAGGCATCGCAACCCTGCAAAAGGTCCTTATAAATACACTTTTCCAGATTTGTACGTATCTATGTATATGTCAGTAAAAGTTCATGGTAATATATAGTACTATGATATGTCCATCTTGACAGTTTTAACCTATTCTTGAATGTTATTACGTAGTTAAAATTAGAAAGTTCAATGCATGCTTTCTAAATAGTTTGATGTGCTACTATTCAAGAAATTCAATAAAGGATATAGGAGTAGTAGTACTGTATGTTTATATAGAATAGAAATGTCACATGTGAAATTCATATAGATTTGCAATGGAACCCCAAGTGTTCCAAAATGTAGCGTGGCATGCATGTGTTTTCATTGAGGTACGTACCCTGACAAAGCAATCGTGGAAGAAGAGGCGAACAAAGGCAGCGCCCATGGTGGGGTCACTGCGGATCATGCCTTGCACGGCGCTCCGCACCGTGTCCTCGGCTTTCGGGCACGACGAGTAGTAGAAGCCGTGCTGCAGCCCGGCGGCCATAGACACAGAGCTCAACGCAGCGGCCATGAGCGCCATGAGCACCGCAACCTTGTTGGATGCGGTCGCCATCTCCTTGTTGTTCACGTACTTCTGTTTGCGTGTGTCTAATGAAAGAGACTTGCAGAGGGAGTGCTTGATGGTGACAATAGTGTGGTTTCGATGAGTATTTATAGATCACGAAGACTATGAGGACGAACACGTACATGCATGACCTTGTTAGCTAGTGTGTTCAGCGCATACAAAGAATTCGTCTGAATGATTAGGAGGTTGGTTACCGTACCACACTGGTAGTTGAATTATATGGACGCGTTGACAATGCCACATGATATCATATTATTCCATGGAAGATTAGGAATCGCAAGCATACAGAAAAATATGGATGATTAGTTCGTTACAGCATGTTGACACTCTTTTTTTGGCGTGGGACGGGGACAGCATATTTTGACTCTTGGGCTTGAACTATGTTGGCAGGAGATTAATCCAGCTCCGTTGATGACCTTGTTAACACTCTCACCGGCAGTTAGGGATAACACAATGCGTCTTCTCAATGATTAAAATCTCTCCCTCTCTTTGCCATGCAAATGCTAATCACCCACCGACTAGCACGAAGACAATGAACCGGAGACACGAAGGCAATGAACTCGACATAAAACAGGCACTTGCCGTGGGCATTCTCTCCCGATAATCAAGGCGTCTGTTCGTTGACACGAACGTCAACTTGACTTAAATGGTGGTTAGCAGAGTATGTATCACTATCCTTTATTCGTTTGGGATCGACTCGATTCAACCTCAACCCCAACGTTGGTTGGTGGTCTCCACCACCGCCGCAAATTAAGCTGGCTTTTGTTCGTTGGTCTCCACGAACGTTCGTATGCCAGATGAACATGAAGCGCACTAAACATGATTTTGTTCACGATCTATAATTGATTTTGTAACATGCCCTGCTAGCTTGCATGCAGGAGTTGAGTGTGCAATTCTTTCTTTTTTTTGGTTATAGAGCGGAATTGTGCTAACAAGAACCAATTAGTGCACAAGTGGATCTAAAACATAATTTTGTCCATGATCCTTAATTGATTTCATAAGTGCACTCTTGGGTTCCATGGAGGAGTTGACCTGCGGTGTACGTACGTTGTTGCGGTGATATAAATCATTGTGCAGATTTGCGCTAACAAGACCAAATTAATGGATGAGGGGATCTAAAACCTAATTTAGTTCATGATCCTTCATTGATTTTGCAAGTGCGCTCTTGGTTTGCATGGAGGAGTTGACCTGTTGTGCACATTGCTGCCGTGACATAGATTATAGTGCAGAATTGTGCTAGCAAAATCAAATTAATGTATGAGTGGATCTACAACACAATTTGTATCTGTTTACTTTTTGCACCTTTGTTTTTCATTTACATTTTATTTTAATTTTTATCTTCTTTCGATTTTACCTTGTTACTATATTTTTTATAGTTCAATTTTATTTTGTTAGAAAATACTGGAACATTTTATCAATGCACATGAGCACATACATAATCATTCATGATTTGATAAAACCAGGAACTTATTTGTGAATGCATGTTATTTTAATGTAGGGAAAATTTCCCAAATATTAAATGAGTTTTTACATTCAATATACGAACATAATATTTATGTCGTCCATGAACATTTTCACTTTTTGTTATATGATTTTCATGATATAATATGATTTTTACAATAAATAAATCTATTAAACACATTCTATGAAAAAATATAAATAAGTAAAATTACGAAAATTATTGGGCCACACTAGTGGCCGACCCATGTAGGAACCTTTCAGGCTTTTGAACGAGTATATCGGGTCACCTGCAAACGCACACAGGGCGTTCCACC